AAAGCAAAGCACCAGTGTTGCAAGGAGACACTACCTAGGAACAAGTTAGGTAGGGGTTGTACAGTCCTTTCTGTGTGTCCTACAAAACTGACCCAGAGGCAACATGACAGGTCCCATCACTAGGCTGTCGAAATCTACTGTGCTCCAAGGGGATCAGAGGTGTCATCCTTTGCCACTTTATTCCCTAAATGAAGAAATTAAAAATAATGACTTGACACTAAAACAGAAATAAGCAATAAACATAAAACATAAGTAAAGTAAAATACTGTATAACTTAGTAGTATATTTATAATTATTACATAAATTATACATACTATATGTGAAGTAAATAAGAATAAAGTGGGAGGCCATATAATTGTTCTTTTTGTCATGAAATTTATGTTAAGTTTGGAAAAAGCGCTGAGGAAGCTCAAGGGAATGGAATGTGAATTCACCAGCCTCTCCTCATGGAGCTTGTACACTAAGCAAGTAACTACGACAGAGAATGACAAATGCTAGCAAATCAAAGTGCTTTGAAACTGTAAGCCACTCTCTAAACAGTCACATTTAACATGAGCATTTATGAAATTTGAATGTAGGATTAAGAGAAAATACAACCAGAGCACATATTAAGATCCAGAAAGGTAAGGCCAGAACAAATTAAGATTTCTGAAATACTCCAAGATAGTGGAAAGGGAATTCTAGTCATGTTCAGAGCAGGCAGGGAAGTTAATCTTGAGAGATTAGTTATGCTGCTTGCGCAAGACATTAGAACATCGGGTTGGTAGATCGGTTCAGCTAATTGCGCTGATCTCCATCAGGGAAACAATTGGACTGGAAAAGGCTTAAGATCTTACTGAAACCTAGTGTGAGAAAGAAGTTATAGAAAGGGCTCGAAATGACATCTTATCTTTAGAAAAGCATGGCAATGATGTCACCATCTCAAACTCAATGTGATCTTTGAGAAAATAAGAAGGGATATAGTTGGCCAATATAGTCACATCACTCCTTCATCAAGGAGCACATATTTTTGTCATGAAGTCTAATTAACTTAGGCCTGTAAAACCCAATTTTATTCTTTAGAATATTTCTATTGAAAATTATTAATTTTAATTTTATGAGTTTCAGTGTACAATATTAATAAAATGTTCCATTTTTAATATTTATTGTTTATAAAAAGCAAAGTTTTTAGCATCAACTGGTTTTTGATATGCAGTCTAAAAAACAGCAGCAAAAATAAATTCCTATGTAAACTACAATGAAACTACCCGTACCACTCTACCGTTGTCATACCCAAGGCAGTCTTCACACAAGACAACAGCACATTCCATACACACATGCCGCCTATACTGACTGCACATATCTTTTGCTTTGCTGGTCTTTTTGTAGGAAGTACTTGACTTCTTGCTAGTCTTGCTGTTTTATCAGGAGTTTTTCTTTTCTTTTTTTTTTTTTTTAATGTATTTGGTACAGGGCCTCACTATGCAGCTTGGACTCATAGTGATCCTCCTGTCTCAGCCTCCCAACACTGAAAATACAGGTGTACACCACCACACCCAGTCTCCATGGCCAGCTCAGGGTGATATAGGGGATCAAACCCCAGTTCCTGCCCTTGCCTAAGCAGGCACTTAGTCCACTGAGCTATCTCACCAGCCCAGGAAGTTCTTATTATATTATGTAATGTGTAATTAGCAGGAACATAAAATATACAATAAAATAAAGTATTAGGTTTTTAATATGTATTGTGCATTTAGGATAAACATCAACATCTTCACATCAGCTGGGTACTTACTTACAGAGCCTAAAAGGTAACATCAGAAATAAAAGCCTGTGTGCATTAGAGTATAAACATAAACAAAAGTCTTTCACATAAATGATATTGGCTTCAACTGTCACACCCAAGACAGTGTTCACACACAACAAGGACATACCTTGCTTACTGTGACGGCACTGTGCTTAGCTTTCCTTTCCTGTGTGTTAGAACAGTCTCACCACCTCTTTTCCCTTCCTGCCCTTAAAAATTGCATCCCCTTGTGTCTGTCACACCCTGAGCTAATCAGTGCTAACGCGAAGGTTAAGAAATAGAGGACCATTAACCTGAACCTCACAGGCTCACACTGCAGGTGGAAGTAAGGTCGTATGACTAATCACAATTGACTATGATAACAAATTCAAAGGAGTAGGTAATTATTGAGAGAATTAAAGTAACTCTGACAGAAAGGATGATGTTCTCAAAAATGACACTATTGTTGATTTATTATTTGACTGTTGTTAATTCAAAAATAAATGCCTTATTGAGCTATGATAAGAGCAGGTATTGTGAAAGATACTTGACCACTTTTTAAACATTTTAATGATAATGTAGGAACATAGGAGTCAGGAGATGTACAAAATACTTGTAACTGACTGTATTACAAATTATATATAACTGTAGTTGGCAAATCAGGGCCAACTAGGCTTTCTGTTTAAAGAGTATATCAAAAGCAGGTGCAGAGAGGCAGAAGAGTATCAGGACAGATGACCAGTGGACAGCACAAATGATGTCTGAGATGACAAACTGTGTTATCTCAGAAGTGTGGGCCCTTCTGTCAGTAGGGGATAGCTCAGGTTTTTCATAACCTCAAGTGATCTCCTCTGCCAGATGAAGGAACCTACAAAAAGATTGGAATAAGGACCAAATAACAATCCTTGACATGTTAAAGGACAAGAACAAAGCAAGACCCCATTCCAGAAGGTACACGGGGGGGGGGGGGGCAGTACATTCACTCTGGATATTAAATAAAGGCAAAAGCTTTCCAGCTGGGAGAATTAAAACGGGGCCATTAGCAATGCAAAGTAATCTGCTATGTCAACATTTTCTTAAATTCTCCTAGAACAGATTTATGTCTGATTTCATGGATAAACTGAGTCTGCAGGTGAAAGTAGCTTCTCCTCATCTGGAAAACTTAGAATTAAAGAACTGACCAGCTACACAATTGATGCAGCATTTTCCCCACTCACTGCACAACGGATTCATTACTAGTGTAGCATATTAACTACACACCCTCCTGGAACTCAGTCACTGTGCTAGATTCAGAGAATGTAAAAATCATTCCTAACAGTAAATCATTGATGATTTTAGAATTAACAAATATTGGGACAAATTCTAGAATGATAGATAACAACAAATGAAAGGATTAGCTAACCTGTTCATGTGGTAAGGAAATGAAGTTCAAAAGTGCGGGCAACCTTAGAGTATTCATTAAAGTATGTTACACATAATATATTCATACACAAAAAATATTATCTGTAATATTTTTATATTTTTCTTGAGGTAATTTATGGAATATTATGTAGAATGCATTATATTATTTTCTAATTACATAAGTTATATATTAATGGGTTTTTGCAAAAAAAATTCAATAGTGCAACTATAATTTGATCATATTTTACCTGAATTTCATACCTGATGAGATATGAAAAAGAATGTATACAAAATATTTTTGGATCTCATTTTATAAATAAAAAGCAAACAAATTAAATAATCCCAAATTTAAAAATCATCAAAAACCATATAATCTGAAATAAATGAATTATAAACTTAATACATTGTTACTGAACAGTCGGGTTATAGTGGTTGCTGTCATACCATAATGGTTTCCTAGCAAGGAGACTATGGATTCTTCCAGTATCTTCTCAACTTTTACATAATCATTTATTAGGCTTATAATAATACTTATAATCTGAAGCTTTATAAATAGATGAAAATTCTTTCTATGTAATGTACAAGCTGTAATCAGGTGACATCGTAAACCAAATGTGTTTGGGATCGGCATCATTCTTTAATTGACATCTAATATTTCTTCCTGAATCTCTGATCATTTAGGAATCTTTAAACTTAATTAATGCAAATGATTCCATGAGGAACATTTTGAAGAATAATCTTTAGGTACTTGCACACATGACCAATAATCTTTTGGGCCATCCAAGTCTGGCATACACATATTTTGCCAGTATTTCTGGCTCAGAATAAGTGAACTTTTTTAGTGTTAACAAATTTGATTAAATTGTACAAGTAACATTCTTCCTCACATCATTATTTCTAAATGTTTTCTTTTTCTTTTTTTCTTTTTCCATAATTTTATTGATAAACATAAATGTTTTCTTTTTAAATGTTAGTATCTGCCATAAAAATAATACTGATTGTGGTTGAATTTGCTATTGTTTATTTAGGGACATGGTTGAATACATTATAAAACTATTGGTAAGCTTTTTTGCTCATTGTTCAGTGATTTATCTTTACCATATGACCATTTTTCATTTGTTTCATTTTTGTTTTTAGGAAATAATGTTCTTTTTCATTTGGATTCATCAGAGATTTTCATATGGTATAGATGTTAGCCATTAGGTTATGTTTGTTAAAAATACTTTCTCTTAATTATTTATCATAGAGGTCTTGATTTAGCAGATTTAATTGAAAATGGGTTTTAATTGTCTATTGATTAAAAATGAGAAAATTATGATATCTCTTTTTTCTTTTGCTTGCTTTGAATAAGTTTTCTAAAGTTTCCAAGCTATAAAAACTATTCTTCATTATTTGATTGCATTTGATTGTAATGCAAGTATATAGATTTTTAAATATATTTTTGTATGTATAGATATATTTTTAGATATTCAATTAGCATTATTCATTGAAGTGACATTTTCCCTCTCCAATGATTTGAAATATTACTTTTTATCATGTACTAGTTCCAAGTATACTTGGTTCTGTTGCAATCTGTTCTATAGTTGACCACAGTCTTGACATTTTTGTGAAAACAAATGCAATACATCCCAGAATCAGCCTCAGTTCACAAAAGGGAAGGGAAGGTAAGAACTAAAGCATTTGCACCAAGTCCCCCAGCTCCACTGACAGCAACCTAGGCCTTTGGCCCCACTTTCATATTTCAAATTCAACATTGTTCCTATTCCACTACAACCTATGATTTGACTTGAACAGCAAAATAGGTCACCCTCTCCTCCTTTATCATGTTTCTTTTCAGTAATCGAGGAGGAGTCCAGCTGCAGCAGTTTCCCGTGCCAGAATGGAGGCACCTGCATAAATGGGAGAGCCAGCTTTACCTGTGCTTGCCGGCACCCTTTCTCAGGCAAAAACTGCACCGTCAAGCTGGTGGAGGAATCTGCTTTGGCTCCAGGTAAAATCTGCTTCCTGGATTGGCTCAAGGTCGTATATAGAAGCACGTTTAGAAAATATCAAGAATTACTACTTAATCTGTCTTAAGTTGGACCCACATGAAGATTAGCTTCTCTCACTTCTGAAACTTGTTGAATAAGATCCTTAATTTAGAAGTGAAAATAACTTTTGGATGGAAAAATTTGTATGCTTACGCTCATTGATATTTTTAACATTGATGTTCTGCAGGCCATTTATTGAAATCCCTAGCCTCCTGCTTTTTTTCTTGTGCATATCTAAAAATTCAAAGGTATATGTCTGACTTGTATAAACTTTCTTCTCAAACCAGTTGTTAGAGAAGTAGACATTTGATTCAAATCAGATATGTTATTTATTTATTTTGGTCTTTTTGAGATAGGGTCTTGCTCAGGCTGGCCTTAAGCTTACTTTGTAGCCAGGCTGGTCTTGAACTCATAATGATCCTCCTGCTTTGACCTCCTAAGTGCTGGGGTTACAGGTGGGCAACACACCTGGCCAGATATGTTCATTTAAGTGAAGCCTGAGTGTGTGCTTAGTGGCATGTTTCCATGGAAGTTACCCTAACAGCACCATTTTGACTAGGATTACTAGGGCATGACTGAAAATACTGAACAAAGATTCTTTTGTTTTGTTCATTTAGTATCATACGTGTCAGTGGCTTTCATTTGCTTTAAGAATACAATACCTCTGGTTTCTATACAAGAAAGTAGGTAAGGTGTTTAATATATGGTATCTTTAGTGACTACAAAAGCATATTTCTAAGGTGGCTTTACTTGAATATGTTGCCTACTGGTGAGTAAGTTTTTGGCCTATTTTCAATTCTCAGACTTTGTAAGTCCATTTGTCATCAGTTACACAAATTCTGCTTCTGTGTACTTCTTTACAGTGGATACGATTTCACAGAAGTCACAGAGGCCTTTAGATTCCTTTGTCTCTGGGCAGATCAAAGCCAAATGCAAATTAATCTCTGTGATATTTGTATGAGAGAAATATCAAATATTATTTTCATTCTATCCTGATCTAAATGGAGATACTGAGGCTCTGTGAGCTAAGTAATGTGAGGTGATTTAGCAAGAAGAGGCAAACATCCAGACACATTTGCTGTTGTTACATTCAGCAGAGGACCTATTTACTTCTACTGAGTTTTTTGTAAGTCTAATAAGATAATAGTAATATGAAGAAAAAAAGCTGAGTAAAATCATGAAAATTAACTCCTGACATTTTTTTCCATTGACAGATTTTTCCAAAGGATCTTACAGATACGCACCAATGGTGGCATTTTTTGCATCTCATACATATGGAATGACTACACCTGGCCCTATCATTTTTAATGATCTGGTGCTTAATTATGGAGCTTCCTATAACCCAAACAATGGAAAATTTCACATTCCTTACCTTGGGGTATATGTTTTCAAATACACTATTGAGTCCTTCAGTACTCATATCCGTGGATTCTTAGTGGTGGACGGAGTAGACAAGCTCACATTTGAATCTGAAAATTCTAACAGTGAAGTACACTGCGATAGGGTTCTGACTGGGGATGCCTTATTGGAGTTAAATTATGGGCAGGAAGTGTGGTTGCGACTTGTGAAAGGAGCTATTCCAGTCAAGATTCCCCCTGTTACTACATTTAGCGGTTACTTGTTGTATCGTACGTAAGTCAGCATGAAAGACAGACTTTTCCAGCTAGTGTTGTTATTTGTCTTTGCATTCACAGCTACTACACTAAGTGAAAGCCAATAGTTTTTCCAATTTGAGTAAAACCATATGAGTATCTATTCATAAAATTGTTTGCATACCTTTTATAAAGCCTGTATATGAAGGAGCTCTTGCTCCTAAAGCAATTTAGAGGCTCAGGAAACAAAATGCCTTGGTGAGGTTAAGTATTTTTATTTTTGTTTCTTTATTTTCAGTCACTTCAATATAAAGTATTACTATAAAATGTCAGCCACATAATATTATTAGTCACCATGGTCTTTCCAGTACAAAACTCAATTGTCTGGTATTCAATGTATATAAAACTGAGATAATTTTTCAATAACAGATTAATAAGCAACTAGATTAATAAATTCAAATAAATTACTCAAAGACCATTAAGTGCTTTTTAAAACTGCTTTTATGTTATCAAATCTATCAATTTCATGTATTAAGCTTTTCATTTGGAATAAAAATTAAGAACAGTGAGTTGGAAATGTGAAATATGCTTGACTTGTGTTCTCTCCCTGCAATTATAAAATAATCATTGGTATGTATATGAAAACTTACATCTAACTCATAAGTAGGTTAGACATGGGCTTACCTCATTATATCTACAGGGGGAAAATATACAAACATTGTATAGTAAGTATCCTTGAATGCCACTATATGCAGATTTGCCCTTATTCTTATAAAAAGTGAGTAATAATCTACAGGACACTCTCAAATATGGGGTGCCCCTGTGCCCTGCTTTCCTCCTGAACAATGCACATGTGATGCCTCATCAGCCCCTCACAATAACTCACGTCACGTGGGCATTATCATTATATCTACGGTTGAAAAGTAAGACGCAGAGTGTTAAGAAATGGATGAAGCTCATGAAGCCAGAGGCAGCATTTGAGCTCAGGCCATGCCTACAAAAGAGCCTCTCTAGCCCTCGCTGTGTCCTCCCACAGGTGGACAAGAATTTGCTCCATGAACCTCTATTAATGAGTGTTTACGTTGTCTGCAATTTATGTTCTGATTTTTTTTTTTTTTTTTTTTTTTTTTTTGGTACTCGGAATCGAACTCAGGACCTTGCGCTTGCCAGGCAGATGCCATGCCACTGAGCTATCTCCCTGGTCCTTCCAATTTTTATTTGGATAATATTGTGGTGAACATCTTTTTTTTTTTTTTAGAACTGGGGATTGAACTCAGGCCCTTGCACTTTGCAGGGAAGCACTTATTCTACTGAGCCATCTCCCCAGCGCCTGTGGTGAACAACTTTAAAAATACTGCCTATTCTCATATTGGACAAAACATTTCTGGAGAATGAAATCCCATAATTATAGTAAAAGTAATGATGAAAAAATAATTTTGGTTTGGCAAGTCAACCATATGAATTATATATGAACATTTGAATTACATAGTATATATTATTTAATCTTTTTCTAGGGACTGGGGAGATGGCTCAGTAGAGGGGCTGGGGAGATGGATCAGTAGAATAAGAGCTTGCCTGGCAAGCACAAGGACCTGAGTTCAATCCCCGGTTCCGGAAAAAAAAAAAAAGAGTCCTCATAGAAAAATACTAAAAAATAAAAAATAATCTTTTTTCTACTCATGAGAAATACAGAAGGTACATAGAAGTTAAGCAATTTTTCCAGTATTATTACAAATTAAGGAGACTTTCTGAAACAAAGAATAAACATTTTTTTCTTTTGGTAAGTACTATCAAATTGTCATTAAGAACATTTTACCAACCTGCGGTTTATCAATATGCACAACATTCTTTATATTCCACACATATTCATCAGTACTCACATTTTGAAATATTTTCAATATTTTTTCAAACAGGACCTCATGAAGTCATTAAGATTAAACTTGAACTTGCAATCATCTCCATGTAACGGGAATTGGAAAAGTTCTAAATCTTGAAAGTATGTGTTTAAATCTTATACATGGATGCTCATAATAGCCCCAAACTAAATTATGCAGATGTCCAATTATCAGACAAGTAGGTAAGCAAAGTTTTATATATCTATACAATAGAATGCCATCAAGTTGTAGGAATGAACAAACCACACCTTACAAATCTCGTAATACAATGCACAAGAAGAATTGAAGGTGCAGCTCACAAGCCTTTGAGCCAGGCTGCAAATGAATACTATCTGAGGGGCCCCCTATTGAGATAAAGTAGCTGGCCTTTCCTACCTCAGTCACATTTGGGGGTGGAAGAGTCAGTCTTCCAGAGAACAGCGTGAATCCAGGAGCGGAAACCTGGAAGTTGGGTGAGTCACCTTCTGGCAGTGTAGGTGTAAGTATGTTGTTTTCCAAAACATTTTAAAAGTCTTGATACTTTCTTCATTCCCTATCTAAAAATGTAGTGTGATCTAAAGTGTGCTTCATTTTATTTCTCCAGGTATTCAGGAATTAAACAAGCTTTTTGCTTTCCAAATAGACTTTCCCACATACATTGAGAGCTTTCATTGTACAACTTGTCTTTAGTAGGATCAGGATGGAAAGAAGTAAATCATTTGCCAATGGTCATTAGGGCCACTTGAGATTTAATTTATTAATTTTATAATTAGGTAATTTACACTTAACATGAAATAATTATTTGATATTTGGGATTTTGCTACTAATATCATTCTTTGTTTTTCTATGTACATGTAGAATATATAAATAATCAATTTACCAGAGCAACCAACAGGCATAATTTCAACAGTAAACTGCAAGTTTCTATGAACTTGCTTAGCTATATTTTAAAAAGCTATCTAATATAATGTGAGAAATGCAGTCTGGTGATGCATTCTATTTGTCATGCACACTTATTTATTGATTCTGCTACAGAGACAGCCACGTATCTTGGCTGTTACAGTACTTTGTAGACTCAATTTTAGTGCTTTTCTTTCTCACTGTACCTTCCTGCCCAGCAAGTTACCAAAGATTGTCAACACTAATGACCATCTCTGAGACATTCATTCATCAATTATTAATAAATGCCAACTATGTGACAGGCATGATATGTCATAGAAAACATACAATATAAAAGTAGATATCCAATAAATCAGTACAAACAAATGCTGAAATTGAAACACACTTTCCAAAGGCATGATCATGTTTATTGTCATCAATATCGAAGGACATTCTGGAAGAATGGGAAATTTATCCTTCTCCCCCACATTTTTCTATATCTTTGACAAAATTTTCGCCCTGTTTTGAATCTATCCAGGAGTTAAGACTTTAACCATGTTCAAAGCCAGTTATACCTATATTTGTTCCTTCTTATCATATTTCACCAGTTAAAACTCTCATTTTATAAGAATGAGCTAATATTATTTAAGCATTAAGAAATAATTCAATTAAGCCACACTTTTTTGTTTACTTGCCTACTTAGCTCTCTAAAAGAAGATTTTATGGGTAGTTTAGTTGTTTCAAAATATAATTTTACTAACTCATATGACTAACAATATTGCATTAAGTTCTGTATAGATATTTATAGCATATATTATATAAAGTACAATTTTATGTAACATACAAAATTATTTATATGTTTATATATTATATAATTTACATGTAACTAAAAGCAATGGTTTAGATTTAGATATTTATCTAAATACTATCTTACATATATGTGTAACTATATATGTGTAATTATTGTATTTTGCACATATATACATAGACAGAGAGAGTCTACCCAAAAAGTTTATAGTTTTCCAAACTAAGAAATGTCTAAATGCTAAGAGCCACAGCTTGGAGCTCCTCTTATAATTGCAGAAGCCAAAGGCAACTTGTATTAATCTCATGATATCGCAATAAATTTAGTATTAAATATTTATATGTTTTGCTTTTTGTGGTGAATACTTTTTACAGAAAAAAATGTATATGTAACATAAGAATTTTATTATGCACTGTAGAAATAAAAACTTGCTGGAGTGTGTTAGTGTCACCTTCTTCACACTGCAAACTAGTGAGTCATACTCTGTCTTCATCAAAGCTGATTTTAAACTCCGCAAAATCGTTGTCATCAATCAAAACTACTTGGCTGTCATCTCTGAGTGCAGGGCACATGCGGGACACATTAAGGGGAAGCGCAGGTCAGCCCGGGAGTGCGCAGTGTTGCTGTTGCTCTTGCCCTGGAAGCCAAGAGGTTTGCTCCCTGGCGACTGCACGCGCAGCTTTCCTCAAGAGCTGGGCAATGTTGTTAGGCAGCTTCCCCTGAGAGCTTTCACCCAGCTCCGTGAGAATTCTGAGAATTCTCAAGGAGGTCTATTACATTTTCGTTTAGAGAAAACAACAACAACAATTTCTCTAGGTTCACATCCTAATTAAACAATCTAAAACTCTGGAAAAAAAAAAAAAGTCCAATTTGAAGAGCAGTTTTTGCATCTTTATTCATTAATTGCCTCATGAGTTGTGAAAGCCCAGGCTTTGATACGAAGGTCTTCCAGAAACCCAGGGTCTTGGTTCAGCTCCCGTGAGAAGATGCCCTGGCCTGTGTGCCTTGAACGGCAGCAGCTGGGTCAGCTGGTTCTGGAGGCTGAAGTCACAGAGGACACGGCCTGCAGGCATGGTTTTCAGGGTCTTCACAAGTAATGGCTGGGGCAGGAAGCGCTGCGCTTCCTCCCTCTTCCTGTAGGGGACGCGTCTCTATGTGACACTGTATCTCATCTAAGCCGAATTGCCCTGCTATGACTTCACCTCTAAATTCCATCACTTAAGGGTCTGGGCTTTTGTATATGAGTGTCCGAGGGATGCAAACAGGCATCTATAGTACCGAATGTTGATGTAGTACTATTAGAATGTGTTTTAAAATCTTATTTTCATGGCTTTTGTTTATTTATTTATTATGTAGTTGGTACAGGGTCTCACTGCGCAGCTCAGATTCCTAGTGATCCTCCTGTTTTCGGCCTCCCCAGCGCTAGGCTTACAGGTGTGCACCAGCATGCCTGGTCACGGTCGCTGGCTCAGGACACCCAGGGGGCAGGGCCAGGGGGCATATAGTGCAGGGGATTGAACCACAGTCCCTGCACTTGCCTAAGCAGGCACTTAATCCACTGAGCTATCTCGTCAGCCCTTTTAATAGCTTTTAAAATCTCAGTCTATGTCATTTTTATTGATTAGATTCAAGTAGATTTGTATGTCAAAACCCACTAAAGATAATACTGAAAATGTTATGTGACGTAATTTAGTAGTTGGTGCTTTTTCAAAATATTATTTGGGTTCAAATACCTATTTAAATTTTCTTTTCTTATGGATTTAAGTTAATACTGATATGAAATTCATTCATCAGTGAAGTAATACTTTCAGTCAGTAGTGTTTTATTATGGTAGCTAAGCTAAGAACTTTGTTTTCTGAGAAATGTCTTTCTTCAAGCCTAGCCTTTGACAAATCATGAAGCAAATTATAAATAAAACTGATTTTAAAAATCTCAACTTGAA